TGACAGAAAAAAAATAAGTCAGGAGATCAAAAAAGTAACAAACTACTTGTGCAGACCACCTTAACTAATTAAAGTTCGTGTGCAATGTACAAAACACAAAGTAGACAAGTCGTTAAATAGAATTAAACATAATAAAAATATATATATACATACACACACATACACACATATACACACACATACATATATATAATAACATCTTAAACATCGACGGACATGGACATAACTTCGCTCTTAGCATAATGCTTAAAGTGTTCAATTGTAAGTTGCAATTGGTTATGCATAGCCAAAGCGTTCCAAAGTCTAACTCCCTTAGCAACCCAACTTCTATCGTAAGTAGAAGTTCTAACTTTTTTTGACATCAACATACCATGTTGTCTGGTGGCCGATGTGATCTTACAAAAAACATTTAGGTGCTTATAATCGTTATAAGAAAGAATTTTATAAAGAAAAATCAGAAGAATGTAATTGTGTAATTGATCAAACCTAAGAATTTTATGACTTCGGAACAAATGATTGGTGTGATCACGATAACTTAAGGAGAAACACAGGCGTATAAAACTCTTTTGCAGCACAATGATCTTATTGATTAGATATTTACTTGCGGATCCCCAGAAAACATTCCCATACAGCAGATAGGGATATAGAAAAGAATAATAAAGCATCATCATTGTTTCAGTATCCAATCTGTTTCTCGCTTTAAATAATACTCCAATAACTTGATACAATTTATTGACTATTTTGTTAACGTGATTGGTCCATTTTAAATCACTTTGAAGTATAACCCCCAAAAATTTTATCGATTGCACTCTTGGGAGCACAGTGCCCTGAATGAACAATTTATTTTTTTCTAGAATTTTGTTATTAGTACTTATTTTAGGGCCAAATATAATATAACATGATTTACTTAAGTTCAATGCCAATTTATTTTTCAAAAACCAATCACAGAATTTTTGGAGCTGACGATTCATTTCTAGGAACAATTCATTTGGGTCTTTTCCCGACAAAAAAATATTGGTGTCGTCGGCGAACAGGATTGTAGTACATTTATCTGACATTGAAAAAATATCATTTACAAAAATTATAAATAATAGGGGGCCGAGTATCGAACCTTGGGGCACCCCTGTTTGAATTTTAAACGGAGGAGACACTACATTATCAACTGAAACAAACTGACTCCGATCAGATAAATACGACCTGAACCAGTCAAACACAACTCCACGAAAACCGTACATCGACAACTTTTGTAGCAAAATTTCGTGATCAATTACATCACAAGCCTTTTTTAGGTCAATGAAAACACCTAGGCTAAATTTTTTCTTATCGAAACCCTCCAAGAGAGACAAATGCAACTCGGCAATGGCCTTCTCAGTTGAAGATTTTGGGACAAAACCATATTGATGTCTATTGATCACGCTATGCTCAATCAGATAATCCCACATGCGATTGAACATTAGCTTTTCAAAAATCTTGGAAAAAACCGGCAGTATTGAGATTGGACGGTAGTTTTCAAAAAGAGTCGGGTCACCACCTTTAAAAACCGGTATTACTTTAGCCATTTTTAAATCATCAGGGAATTTGCCCATTTTAATAGAATCGTTAAATAGTTTTGAGATTTGACTAGCAACATGAAAAACAGTATGTTTGAGGATCTTAGTAGAAAGAAAATCACAATCAAAACTATTTTTCAAATTCAAATTGCCAACGGCCGAGACAATCTCATCCGGAGTTGTGTCTCGTGGAATAAATATTGGGTTATTAGAAACCACATATGGACCGACATTTGAAATGAACTGACCATCGCCTAAAATTTTATTGATATTTTTACCTATCTCAACAAAAAATTTATTCAACCCTGTAACGGTGCTCAATTTAGCAGTTTCACTGGCATCATTTGAGAACAATTTATTGCATGATTTTTTTGACCCCAAAATTTCATTAATTATCCTCCATCTGTGTTTTGTTCCAGGTTGATTTTTTAATTTATTTTCAAAATATTTTTTTTCCGTGAATCTTTTGACATTTATAAATTTATTTTTAACCTTATTATATGCATTTTTATTTGCAGGGGATGGATTGTGTAGATGCCTTTTGTAAAGAACATTTTTATACAAGGAAAGATTATAAAGATCGATATTCATCCATGGCCTTCGGAAGCGATTTTTTTTATTCACCAATGGCAAAGCTAGATTGATGCAGTTTAAATAAGTCTTTAGGAAATTCTTAAAATTTGATTCAAAATCGGACCCGTAATCAGACATGTTCCACTGGATATTCTGTAATAAACAATTTGCTTTTTTTAGGTTCTCAGAACTAATCAAACGGGTTTTAATGTAAGGGTTTTTGCCACCGACAGCCTTAGCATTCAATGGTATGCAAAGAAAAATAGGTAAATGGTCAGAAACATCGCTGTATAGAATTCCTTTCGGGCAGCCGCCGATGCCATAATTAGTAAAAACATTATCGATCGTTGACGAATGGCTTGATGTTATTCTAGTCGGTTGGTTGATAATTGGATGCAAATTAAATTGAGCCATAAGATTTAAAAACGATAATGATGCCTGGTTTTTTACAGCCAAATCAATGTTAAAATCCCCAAGTATAAAAACATCACTACTGACATCGTCTTTTAAAAGTTCATATAAAAATTCCTGCATTTTAGATAAGAAATTATCCAATTTATAATTTGGTGGCCTATAAATACAAATGATTATATTTTTTTTATTGACAGAGGCAAATTTAATTCCGACCCATTCAAACAGGTCGGAACTGAGAGAAAAATTACAATTTAAATTTTCGTACGCTAAGTTTTTATCAATTAAAAAACCAGTACCCCCACCCCTTTTACCCACCCTATTTTTCGCAACTAGACTATGGCATGGAAAATACGATAGTATAGGGCCATAGTTAGTGTCATCATTTAGCCATGTTTCACTTAAAGCAACAATTTGAGGGATATTAACATATAATTGAAAACCATTAATCAACAGTGCCAAATCATCAGCATGCGCAGTCAAACTTCTGACATTTATATGCAGTAAAAATAAATTAGAGTTATTGTTAGCTGAAACATTTAAAAAATCGATAAGTTCACAGAAAACAAAATAATGACTAATGTTATTTGGCATATAGTATTCACAATTTACAATAGCATCCACATCATCAAAATTGTTCAACACACATGATCCATCAACATCCAAAACAATTGGCATAGTTTCATCCTCATCTGCATCATCCATATCAACGACATCAGAAGCAACACAAACATCATAAGACACCGCATCACACCAATTCATCGCTCTACCACTAGCAGGATTCATATTCATTTCTTGACCATCGGTAATTTCATGATCTTCCATCTTCCTGGAGGACCCCTCACCCTGAACAAAAAATCACCACTTGCTGCCTCTTGTTTTCTAGCCTCGTCCACCAAACTCTTTAGTTCAATTCTTTGATCTTTGGTTAAGTCATGGCTGAGGCTAATATTACCAAATTCATTGTTTAACAGTTTTAGTCTCGAGAGATTGCTCATTATAAGGGCTTTAATTTTTATGTTGTCCATTTTAATCAGCAATGGCCTATTTGAGTTTTCCTTTTTCTTCCCCAATCTTAATATTTTAATGACATCCTTGTCATTTACAGCATCATCTGTCAAATGCTTAAATATTTGAATGATGCGCTTTTTGTCATCACCATGTTCTGACAGTCGGAACAACATAATATTTCTTTCTTTCTCTTTAGCCTCAGATGCCTCGACCAGTGTCTTCTGCACATTTTTGAACTCAACGCTGACTGCTTCCTTCGTCTCGATCATCTCCTTTTTTAACGCTTGGAAACAGTCGTTTATCACCTCATCATTTAACTTCACAACATTTGTAGTCACAACATCTTTTAGAGTATCTGCATAAGATTTTTTAAGATTTTCCTGCAGCACCACAATCCTGTCATCAATACTTTCGTTATCATCTCTGCTGTCAAGTTTGTTTTGAACAATCTTTACCTGATTACTGAGTGAGACGTTGCTTTCTTGCAACTTTCTTATCTCCTCTGTCAACTCACTTAGTTGTTTATTCGATCTAAACATGTCAATATGTTCAAGGCAGTTTTTACATATCCAGACGAAATTAACAGCCTGCAGGAGTTCTTTTGTTGTTGGTTCAGTTACTCCACTACATTTCCAATGCATAGTCACTGAACTACATAATTTACATTGTAACGAATCCTTTAAAGTCGCATTTCCATTGCAACTCTGACATTTATTTCTGCCTGCCATCAATTAAAACAACTCAAAACGTAAACACTGGACATGCAAATTTAAACTGCACTTATGTTCGACTTTAACGTTAGTATCAGTCTACAATCAAAACAAATTTCACAACTCTTAGGAGTGTATGTACAGAACTATAAACAGCTACAGTAAATAACCAGCCTAAATTATTTGCCTTTCAATTCAAACTATTAAAGATTAAATTTAAAACTAAATTTTATATTATTCAAAAAATAAATTATATATTCATAATCCCCTTAATTTTGTCTATAAAATGAACACAAATTTAGCAATTTAACTTTGAAAAAAAACGCTGAAAATTAAGAAATACGACGAGTAATCTAAATGCGTCCGATACATAATATATGCAAGGGAGTGTTTGATTGATTTATCTCATAGTATTGTATACATGAGAAAAAATCCGATTAAGCCAACCTTCGGCTTCAGTAAGCCACTGTTTTTTACCTGACAAAAGCAATTTCCATATTTATACTGACAAAAATAATTGTGATATGAATATATTGATTTATTTAAAGCATTATATGTACAACAAAGTGCTATCGTAAGAGTTCTATGAAACCCTGTAAGCCACTGCTGTAAGCCAACGTATGATTTCAGCAGCCAGTTTCTTATGAGCACCAGCAGAATGTAAGATATTCATTGAATATAATGAAGATAGTTGTTCAAATAACAACTTTGATTTATTTAGGCCGTTTATTTCATAAGCAAACCAATTTTTAACATGATCGAATTGTGTAAAAAAAAGGGTGACTATAGTTCAATCCTACTAAGCCAACCTTTGGCTTCAGTAAGCCACCGGATTTCACCGGACCAAAAGCAATTTTTATATTCAAATTAACAAAAAAAATATAATAATACATAATTTTATTAATCATTATTAAAATTAAATAGAATTAATACAATGTTTTAAGCATATTAAATCAAGTAAATATTTCATTTAGCTTGCTCGTTAAAATCCATGCAATTTCGTAAGCCAACAATCCAAGCACGACAAATAGCCCGACCGATAGATCGAATTGATCGATTAGTCCTATTACTCTAGTTATGTGGTTTGGAGCAAGGGGAGACATTACTGAAAATAATTAAAAGTTGAAAAAATTGAGGTTCTTTGCATATCCTTGCTTCAACCCATAAGAAGGTGTTGTATGCTGGTAAATAGGCCTCCTCTTGATACAAACACATACATACAATGATGTTGTTGAAAATATTATATTTATTACAAATTACAGTAAAATAGCAATTATTCAAAAGCTAAATAGCATAAACTGTTTAGAATGAACTAAATTTGGTAGGTGTGTTTGTTTAATTAACCTGTAAATGAAAATGTACTACAGTTTAATAATGATTTGAATTAATTTATGTATATAAATTTAAAGATTTGTCCTAAAATGGTATAATGAATATTGCAAAAATACAAAAAATAACATTACAAGAAGCAAAATTATCTGAATCACGATGTTATTGACAGATTTATAGTTTTATTTCATTTAAAACTATATATTCTCCATTGGATAGCATTTTTCTTAGAGTATTGTTAGCTTTGTCGTCATGAAATAGTCCCAGGAATCTATTGTTTGAACATTTGAACAGCAATGTTATATTAAAGTAACTCGTTGTTCTGAGCTGTCTTAAACACACCAATGAATTCGATTGCATTTCTAAATGTCAATTGACCATTTGGGCCAAATGTCAATTGACCATTTAGACAAAGACATCTTCAGTTGCGTTTGCCAGTCTGGCTGATTTGAACGATGTTGCCTGTATCAACAGAAATGTTTCCAAAATCAATTGAAACATCAATTTTTCGACAGAATACAGCTTTTCTGGATATAATGGAGACGCTTCTAAATCGTTTTTGATACAAAAACTGCGTGAATCTTATAATTTTTTTTGCTTAATGACGAATGAAAAAGCGAAGCGAAACACACTACACAGAAAGTTGTCATGGTTCTATTTCTACTAAATAAAAATAATATTAACCATATCAAATTATTAAGATTTATTTATTAAAGTGTATATATAAAAATATCTATCTAGAATATTATACCAGAACTGTTTAAAAAGCATTTTCAAAAGTATATATTAAAAAAGTAATCTAGAAGTATTTAAAGTTGGTTAATATTAAGTATACTAGCTCACTGTTTCAATAAGCGTGTCTACAGTATATTATGAAAGTATTTTATAAGATACTTTAAGGTATCAAATAAAGCATCTATAACATACACAAAAATATTTAAATTACTTTAAATTAAATTATTTTAAAGTATATACCAAGGTAAAAACGTAATTAAAAGTATTTAGAAATAAAAAAATGTAATTTAACGTATTTGATGGTAATATAATTTAAAGAAATATAAGTATATCTGTTTCAAATATCAACAATGTACATCAAGTTTTCTAAAAAGTACTTAGAAGCATTCAAAATGTTTTTCTC